TAGGTAAGAGATTGTGAGATATGATAGGTCAGATTTAACGAGATAGGAACACTGTTAATGATATCAGCAGCTTGGGGATAAATAGTAGGAATGTACTAACATAAGTTGTAGAAAACATAGAACCCCCCCCCCTCTTTTGTCAAGAGTGCCAGATGATATCTCAGGGGGAGCGAGCTCATATCTCATGGGGTGCAAGCTGATATCTCTGATTTCTCAGGGTGTGTGAGTAAACGTCATCTTAACATACCAAGTGACACTAACTTTGTCGTTTGATGTCAGCTTAATGTCACTAGGTCTCGTTGGAAACGGGATTATTTTGTAATAAATAACTCAATAGAAAAACTCAACAGAAAACTCAATAGAGTAGCGGCTCTATCCAGTCGCTATAATTCTCTATGTAATAAAGAAAGTGCGGGAACAAAATGACCGATAACGGCGCTAATTAAGATTCTTAAAAATACCGCTTTACTTTTGGCGCGCAATATTTTCTTTTGTATTCCGGAAAAGTCTCAATTTTAAAATTGTGTAAAAAAAAACCTGCGTTATAAAATGGGTTAGTACATTAGAATATCAGGCCCGTTCTTAGGCATACGCTGACTACGCATCCGCGTAGGGCCCCGAACGTGAGGGGGCCCCTGTGAGGCGCCCTCGATCCCCCAGTTTTTTTTATTTTTTATTTGGCACTGCAGCCGTCTGTGCCGCTCACGTTACCTTCCTCATACTGACATTTTTCATTTTGAGTTGAATTCGGAGGCAGGGGAAGGGAAGCAGCAGGGAGGAGCTTTGGGGGTGGCAGACGGAATTCGGCAGCATGGAGGTGCCGCAGTGGTGGGTGGTGTTTTCTCCTCAGCTCGAGGGAGCTCCACCCCGGATCCCCCCTCCCTTTTCGGGGCCCCCAACCTGCGCTCCATGCTTAGGGTCCCCAAACTCCTACGAACGGCTCTGAGAATATGAATAGAGTTCAGGGGCGTGGGGGAAAAAAGAGTGTGCGGTGGCGTATCTATGAGGCGATAGCACTAATTGGGATGCACAGAAGTACACACACGCTGCACTTTATATACATTAGATTGGCAAGATATATATTTTTAACTGTAACTTTGTTTTCTTCGATAGATTTCCTTTCACCAGGACCCGAAGGAGCTATTCTGTTCTAAGAACGCTAAGGGACAAAGTGTTTCTAGACAACCGCACACTAACTCACGACTGTGATGTCGTTACCCTTCAGATCTAGTTGTCGCATGAAATTTGACCCATGGGCGGGCGTAATACTCCCCCCTCCCCCACCAAACAACCTCCATTGGGAGATGCGAAATTACAGGTCATGTGAGTACTGACCCCAATAAATGTAGCCATGGCAACCGTTTTCTGTTTCCCCAAGTGCTATGGCGGAGACGACCAAAAAAAAAAAATCTGTTGAAAGTTTAGCTCCTTGGATTTCGTCTTCACTAACATTTTTGCCCCCCAAAATAACTTCTATTGAAAGGGTACTTGCCCGCCTTGTTCATGAACACGCCATCAAGCTGAAAGCACTTGCTACAATTTTCGTATCTATTAATATCTTCTTCTTTCTATGCTTATAGGTATGCATGCTAATTTGTGAGCAAATTAGTTGCCCTTTAGGGTACCCCCCAGACGTAGGCTATTAATAACTTGTCATTAATTTTAGGATGTGTGCCAGCATTTTTTTTGGTTTATTGATTGACAAATTTCTGGTTGAAAAACTTTTAATATCACGTGGCGTGGGTGTCGCACGTTGTAAGATGGTCAGATCATAACCTCTGTACCATATGTTTAAATATAAAAATGTGAGGTGAATTGTGGTTGTTACAGGCACAATTGTTACCACGGAGAAACAACTCTTCACTCCATAGAGCGGTTCTCAACCCTTAGGGGGGTGTCGAACGGCCCTTACGCAGGGGTCACCTAAGACCATAGGAAAACACATATCTATGAAGTAGCAACGCAAATAATTGATGGTTGGGGTTCATTAAAACTGTACTATAGGGTCGCGGCATTAGGAAGGTTGAGAACCGCTGCTCTAGAGGGTTTTACAGCAGCGCGTGTGCGGGTTTAACACTAGACCTCCTGAATTTATGGAGTTTTTTTAAATTAACGAATGAACTGTAAGGGCTTCAAAATCTTACTAGTCTTTTTAAACATCTCTTTCGTTTTTTTTATTGCTCCAATGAAACAACGGCAAGCATAAAATATGTTGTTGTTTTTTTAAATAATAACATTGGATACCAAGGTGCACTACTATTTTCATACAGATGATAAGTACAGCNGGGGGGGGGTGGTGTTTGTTGTTGTTTTAAAAATGATGCGTCCTGTGGGTGTTGCCTTTGAATGATAAGAAAGTATAACGTGCAAATCATGCACAGCCGCATCGAAGCTCAGTGGTCAGCAAATCGCGGCTCGCGAGCCGCCCTTCGGCTCTTTAGCGAACTGAGTGCAGCTCGGCCAGTCGGCCACGAATCGGTTTTGACTCCGAGAGACATGGTTCTTGTCAGATTCTTGAAAAGAAATTTGGCTCTCCAAACTTTTTTTATTTTTTTTTAAATCGTCCTGCTGCTGATTTTTTGGCTCTTTTGACTAACCGAGCTTGCCGACCACGGGGCCTAGTCAATCTTTGTTGAGAAAAAAAAAATTGCGCAACAAGCCATTTGGTATGTTCAAAGCTTTTTTATCGAAATTTGAATTTTTAAAAAAGAAACGAAAAACAAAAACAAACAAGCAGACAACCAGACTTAAGATCCGAACACGGGACTTGACTGCTGTTTGACTTGGTTTAACAACAACAACAACAAAAAAGAGGATAAAAAGAAGATTTAACATGCTGCATCGGAGGACTCTGAGAGAAGGGTAGAAGCAAAACTGACCAGGGTAAAACACAATAAATTCTTTTCGTGTTAAAATTATCGGATGCCGTTTCGGAAAAGTTCTTTGGTAACAGTGCTAGTCGCCCTAACAAGGATACGCCACTGCCTGTGTAACAGTGCTGGTCGCCCTACAAAGAATACGTCACTGTCTGTGTAACAGTGCTGTTCGCCCTATAAAGAATACGCCACTGTCTGCCTAACCTTTTAACTGAACGTTGATTATAAATTATCTAGATGCCTCGAATATAACAAAGGTATTTAGATATGTCGGATCGAAAAGAATAGAAATGTGGAGATACAGACGTTAAATAGCTATACAAATTTAGACATATAGAAATATAGAGATGAAGAAATTTAGGAATATACAAAGGCAGCCTTTTAGAAATATAGATAAAATAAATGTAGATGTTCAGATAAAGAGTTTAAGCAATAAAGATCTAAAGAAATATTTGAGATATAGATATAATTATATGTAGAAAGAGATAGATATATAGAGCTTTAGATATAAACCTATAGATATAGATGTATAAAAAAAGATATATATATATATATATATATATATATATATATATATATAGAGAGAGAGAGAGAGAGAGAGAGAAAGATATAGAGCTATGGACAATGTTTCCTCTAAGGTAAGTTGGTTCGTGTGAAAATTCATACACTTGTGTGCAAAGTTTTACAGCATCCTTTTTTTTGTGCAAAATTGTACAGCCAACAAACAAACACACACTTACATGAAAATTTTGCCGCGCAGCTTAAAGGGAACATTGGCCATAGACATAAATATATAGATATTGAGCTTTAGATATAGCTATAAATCTCTAGCTATACCTCTAAGTTCCATAAAATCCAAATAGTCATCGAGGCTTCCCTTCGTCTTTTTCATCAATTCCTGCGGGGCCGGGGCGCTCAGATCCAGATTAGGGGAAAGGGGTCTCGTCAACAGCTCCTCCAGTTCCTCCATCTCAAGGTCATCCTCCCCTTCAGGCGCCAACCCGATGTCGAGGGGCGTGTCCTTAAAGCGATTAATCCTCAGCGGCGTGAACAGCTCTTCTTGGGGCCCGTCTAGAGCACGTCCCGCGTTCGTTAGTCCTGGGCTGACGAACTCTGGGTTTTGGAACTCCGGGTTCGCGAACTCTGGTCTTGTGAACCCCCGATTTGAGAGCCCCAGGCTCGCGTACTCGGGGCCCGTGAACCCCGGGTTTGAGAACCCCATATTGTGAGCGTGTGCCGGTTTCGCGGCTCGTTGAAACGGAAACTCGAGGTGGTCAAAGTCTTGGTGGCGCTGTGCTGGGTGGAAACGGTGCTCAGGGAAGGTGTCTACTCTGTTGTCCAAGTAAGAGCGCCGCGATCTGGACACGTGTGGCGCTAAACGAAGAGAGCAAAGCGATAGTGAGTTGGGACATGCATTACTCTTCACCGACTGTGACACAATAAACATCATGTAAAGAAATATATATATATATATATATATATATATATATATATATATATATATATATATATATATATATATAA